TTTTTGATAATTGAAGAGTGCGATTTTGATTCCAACAAGGGCTGCCTTTTCATCAGTCTTCTAAATTTGTATAATAATAAAAACATTGTGCAGATTAACTGATGAGCAACCATAGCTGAGTTTTATGCAAACAAGAAATTTCATGGTTTGACCAACAATAGAGGCTGACCTGGGATGGCTAGAACTATAGTAAATATGAGAACAGTCTTTGCCTATAATTCTCTTAGTTGCTTTGTACAGGTGTTGTTTGATTTAATTTCTGTGTTTACTTGCAAGCTGTATCCCTTTTCCTTTTATCACAAAAAGAAAAACAAATACGTTGGTGGTATTGGATAACAGGGTTGAATTTTGGCAAAAAATATGATATGTCTCACAGAAGAAAGACTTGTACTTTGAACACAGCCTGAAGATGAACAAATACAATGAACAATCAATTTTTGAAACCTAGAGTCCTGGCTGTGTATGTATTGTCTATTGAAGCTTGATAAAATAAGAGTTAATGGGTTTTGATAATGCTGTTTAACTTGATTATTACTTTCTGGTCAGGTGCCAGAACTGGATCAAAACAAGATGTTAAAATTCCAGCTGAGTTACATTTGCTATTTCAGACTGAATACACTTAGGATCTTGTCAAGTTGAGGCCTATTTCATGAGCAGAGATAAGAAATCTTATTTATAGAACTTGTCTGCCTACCATTTTAGGTATGCCTTTTTTATTGTATGTCCTTTTTTATCGTTACAACTTTTTTGCTTTGTTCTAAAATCTCAATAGCCTTAAGAAGAAAATAATGAAAGTTGGATCTTTTACGATATATATATGTATGTATGTATGTATGTATGTATGTATGTATGTATGTATGTAATTCAGCTTTGTTTGGGTATTTTCCCACGTCATTGTAGTTGTGCTTTTAAAGTTGTAGCAACGTTTCGGCAGAATCTCATCTGCCGAAATGCCATATATATATTTATTTGTATGTGAATCTTTGGTTAGGCAGGAGAAAAACCGAATAACCAAAGAGAGAGAGAGAGAGAGAGAGAGAGAGAGAGATGTGTGTGTGTGTGTGTGTGTGTGTGTGTGTGTGTTTTCTTAAGTTTTTGCGGGTACTTACATGAATGGTATTCAGCTTTGTTTGGGTATTTTCCC